TGGGGGAGTGGGTTGTGGGATTTTGTTGGGTGGGTGGGGGGGCTGAGCGAAGTGCTTGAGGGAGTTTTTAAAGGGAAACCTCTGCGCGTGTGTGCGCGCGCGCGAGATTTTTTTTTTTGGACCACAACATATGTTCTGAAAGAATAGAATCCTAAAGTCAAGTGAAGTATGAGAAGTAATCATCTAAATAATCTGAAATTTTTAAAGTCCACATATGTTCCTATAGGACAAATAAGCATGATTCCTAAATTGAGCATGATTCCTATAGGTCACTCCTACTAGTGGTCTGCGACAAGAATGCCCACTATCACCATATTTGTTTTTTCTCTGCACGGAAGCTCTCTCGGCACTGATCATCAGACAGGAGGAGAACATGTGCATCAGAGGGTTATCTTGTTCCCGGTCGGGGCCAAGAATTTCTCACTTGTTCTTTGCAGATGACTCTTTGGTTTTTATTCAGGCTTCCCAAGCCGCTGCACAGACTGTCCAGAATACTCTGCTACTATATGAGGCTACAACCGGTCAGAAAAGTCAACTTTCAGAAGTCTGCCATCACCTTTTAGCCCCTGTGTAGATGAGGATATTAGGGCCTCTATTTTCTCTGTCTTGGGGCTTGATAGGGCCCAGTCACATGATCAGTATTTAGGCCTCCCTTCGGTGGTTGGGAAAAGTCATCATCAGACTTTTGCTTCAATCAGAGACTCGGTTTGGAAAAGAGTCCAAGCTTGGAGGAGGGCTCTTTTCTCAGCTGGGGTCGAGAGGTTATGGTGAAAGCTGTTTTGCAGGCGATCCCATGCTATGTGATGAGTATCTTTCGCATTCCAATTTCTTTGTGCATGGAGATTGAGTCTATCATTATGAGATTCTGGTGGAAATCAACTTCTGGTGAGAGAAAGATTCACTGGGTTAGGTGACAGAAGGTGTGTCGTGCAAAGTCAGATGGTGGTCTAGGCTTTAGAGATCTACAGATGTTTAATCAGGCATTGGTGGCTAAGCAGACATGGAGAATCATTCAGGACCTTTCTTCTCTGGCTAGTAGGGTTTTGAAGGGGAAGCATTTCAGAGACTCAGACTTCCTTTCAGCTGGTGTCGACCCTGGCTGCTCTTATTTATGGTGGAGCATTATCTGGTGGAGAGAACTCCTGGCTCGAGGTCTGAGATGGAGGATAGGTGATGGTCAGAGTGTCTCTATCAGTGTTGACCCATGGATCCCAAGGCCCTTTTCTTTCAGGCCAATCACTTCTCTGATCGACCCTTCCAGAAGGGTGGTTTGTCAAACCTTAGAGGAGGGGGGGTGATTAGGGTCTTATGCTAATCTAATCCGATTTTATGCTAATTAAAACTTATTAATAAATTATTCTTGCAAGATAGATATACAATATGTTATGAGCAAGAAAATACAATATGAACAAAGAGATATATCATATATGGTGAAATATATGCAATGATATATAAACAACACAAGGGTAAACAATCTAAACTAAAGATACAATTGTGATAGGACAATATAAACAATGCAAACACACAATATGATCACGAAGTTCCGACATTCCGTCCTACGTCTCCGCTCCCCACTCACGGGGAGAAATCCACTATCACAACCGGGTTTTCTACGCTCACCCGAATAACGTTTACACCACACAATATCGGTTTTCAACGCTCACCGATCAACGTTCACAATTGTTCACGGAGTTCGGTCCCCACGACCTAAGTCTCCGCTCCTCACCTCGAGGAGATCTCTACTATCACAACCGGGTTTTCTACGCTCACCCGAATAACGTTTACAACGACACACTCGGTTTTCTAGCTCACCGAAAACCTTACAACACTCACAATGTAACAACAAATTTGTTCTCTACAATAGATGAGAACTCAATGAAAGCTCACACTCAATTGTTACAACTCTCACCAACTCAAATATACTATATATGAAAATACAATAAGCTCAAGTGGGTGTGTGTAAACAATGAGTGAAATCAAATCTAAACTCAATACAAAAACTAGCTTTAATGAATGATAATTAAACAAATATGCAAATGTAAAGCTAGATATAAGTTTAGAAAACTTCTCAATAGATCAAAAAGGAGAGAGGGAGAAGAGTTGGATGCTCAAACTTCAATTGATGATCTCCTCAAGCTCTTGTGAAATTGTTTTCACAAAACAAACTCCTAAATGCTTAAAAGCTTCTTAAACAAACTTTAAATAACACTTGAACTCTTATTAAAACTTTATTAAAACATTTCTTGGATCATTATAAGAACTGAGGTATAAGGGGGTATTTATATGAAACCCCAAAGCCAAGAGAAAGCCAAGAAAAGACCAAAAAACCAACCCAAAAACAGCTGTAAGAAATAGCCGTTGGAAGCCAACGGTAACTTCGGCGGTCGACCGTGGAAAACACGCGGTCGACCGCGAGCAGCTCAGAAACAAAATCAGNGTGACGGTCGACCGCAAAACTCTTTGGACTTCATCCGGTAGACCGTCAGCGGGCCGGGGGAGCCACTAAAAAACATATTGAGTCTCCGGACTCAAGGCGGTCGACCGTGGTGGTCGACACCGCAAACTGATACATGAGAAAAACAAGTTTGAAAACTATTTTTTGATTTTGAAACCCTTG